GGTTATGGTTAGTTTTACTTACTCTAGATCAGTGCTTGCATATCAGCTTTGAGGAGAAAACAGGGGGGCAGGGGGAGAAGAGACATTCATGTCCGTTATTTTCATCATTTGTTACTAAAGGGCTTGCCAACTTTTAAAAATTGCCCATGCCATGCCAGGGGCCAGGAGGTTGACCGGTCTAAATCTTGCTCGGGATATTTGACAATCAAGGAGCTACAAAAAATGGCAAGCAAGATGATCCCTATCCCCCTGTGTGCCTTGGCAGTCTCTGTTTTAACTTGTCCTGGGATTAATATCATTGACTCTCTGAGAGAAATGTATATTTTAGTGTCCATGCAATGATGAATGGAAATTCAACAGGAAACTATTTTGAGGGATTGATCATAATCTTCGTTTGTTCCGCTCCTTTCTTTGAAGTCCTTTGGTTTTTTTGTTATATCGTAAATAAATACGTTTTTTGTAACAATTAACTTGTCTGGTCTCCCATTTTTGTTGCAGCCTATGAGCCGGGCCGTAACAGGGATTAATCTTAATCTTGGCCCCAAACCTAATATGAGTTAAAGGTCCCCTATTATACGGTTTTTCATCAATATATTATAGGTTCTCAGATATATATAAAACATGTCTCTGAAGTGTTTGGCTCCAAACACCAAACAGATCATTGCAGCATTACCCATAATCCCCTCTGTTTCAGCCCTGTTTCCAAAGTGCTGATTCTCTGTCTGTTACTTTAGATGAAAATAAGGAGCCCCTCCCCACGCCCCTCTGAGAGACATTTGGTTACAAAGAACTCAATGGTGCTCTAGGAGGAGATTCAGGTGCTAAGGTGGGGGGGGGTGGGGGGTTAGCTTGGTTACTGATTGGCTAATGGTTACACAAACCAAAACATCGTTATGACATCATAAAGTGGCCAAAATCTGATCAGCTCATTTTCAGACAGGTTTTTATAGAGAAACTGAAAACTATGAAACTTTCAGAGTCTCTTTCCACAGAGGGGACACATGTTGATGTAGAAGAGACATGAAGAAGAGGGGACACAGGTTGATGTAGAAGAGACATGAAGAAGAGGGGACACAGGTTGATGTAGAAGAGACATGAAGAAGAGGGGACACAGGTTGATGTAGAAGAGACATGAAGAAGAGAGGACACATGTTGATGTAGAAGAGACATGAAGAAGAGGGGACACATGTTGATGTAGAAGAGACATGAAAAAGAGGGGACACATGTTGATGTAGGAGANGTTGGAAAAATCGGTATAGCCTAACTTTCCAAGGATGTTCTAAATTCTGGTGTGGGGCTCTTATTTCATTTTCCTTAATGTTTGCCCTGAACGTCTAAGAAACGATGGCATTAAAGGGCCCATGTCATGCTTGTCCGGTTATTACCCGTCCCCTTGTGTGTTATGAAGGTTTTCCTGCATGTGCCCTCAAAGTACACCCTGTAGCGAGTAAAACTCTACCACAGAGAAGACCTGTCTATGCTGCCTCAGAACGCCTCGTTGGACATTTCTCTTTTTCCATTTGCTTCTTCCGGGAACCACATGACGTCATGCGGTTCCCGGAACCAAAATGGACCAATCCGCGGAGCTCCTCACACACCAGGATCCCTTGGCGTCATTATCAAACGCAGTGGGGGGACCTTTAGCGTACATTTTCAACTGACAGGGAGTCCCATTGACTTGCATAGAGCTCCCTGGTTGGTAATAGACGAGTTGGGATCGCGGAGAAATGCCAGATCCATTCTCACAGCGTTCTAAACCTTTTTCTTTCTCAATATCAAGCCACACATATTGTTTTTACTTCAGCTGTGAGTGTTTGTGTGTGCTCAGGATGAGTTTCGCGCTGTCTCGCTGTATCACCGACCCAGAAACCACACCAGTAAGCCAGCTCGCTGAGCAGCAAGCTTCGCAACGTCCCGACCAATCAGAGCACACTGGGCTCACAGGGAGGGGGTGGGGTGGGGCAGGAGCTCCAACAAGCCGTTTAGGACAGAGAGTGAATACACATACTATACAGAGATGCTGTTTGAGAAACCAATGTGAGTTTGGAAAATTGAACAATTTAAATCTATTCTAGTAGACCTCAACAATGGAATTATGATCAGTAGAAATGGCCATGACATGGGACATTTAACATACTTGTGAAGCACTTAAAACATATGTAAATAGTGCATACAATTATATTTTATCCATAATTCTTAATATAGGATAAGGATATTGGCCATAACTGATAAATATATATTTTGTAGGGTCTATTTTTTGTCTTTTTTTCTCCAATATCAGCTACACTTTTGCCCTTTGACCCCCTTAATTTCTGCTCCGTGTGACTGGAAGCCTTGACCCCTGTTTGACACATGCACATATTCAACACCTTAGTGGCATCTCTCAGAAATGAGTACAGTGACAGGAAGTGTCTCTTTATGTTACCTGGACATACACATTCCTTGCAGTGTGTAAAGAAAACCTGAAATCTAAGACCAGAATACTTTATTGGTCAGTCACTTTGTTTATTCTCTCACACACTGCACTCCAGCTCAGCTTCTGTTTAAGCTCTAATATGTGGACGTGTTGAAATGAGCCGGACTGCTGTTGCATAAAGACTAATCCGGGCTCAGTCCATTCAGCCTGGTGTGTTTACAGAGCGGACCGTGTTCATCCTGCAGAGGTTTAGCTGCTGGGGGTTAAGTGGCACTTGGGTTTAAATTAGTTGAGTAAATACACAAAGAATCAACAATAATCTATCATATGTTAATAAGATGTTGTCTTATTCAACGTTTAGTTTGGGCCTTTTTTTGCAAGCCTTCAGTGACAATAAGCTTCAAATCTATTCATCACACCTATTTTTCAATTGGCTCTGTT